GGGCCCTGGCTGCCTCCGTGCCCTGCAGCCCGCCTCCCTCCTGTGGGGTCTGCGTGACCCTTCCTGCCGTGGGGCCCCTTCAGGTGCCTTAGGCTGCAGCAAGGCGTGAGTGTGAGGAGAAGACCGGTTTATCCCCGTGTATGGGTGGTTGTAGCCTTTGGGCAAGCTCCCTTAGAGTGTCTTCCGTTTGTATTTCAGTCACTTCTTGGCAGGGAAAGTCGGTTGCGGGAAGAGCAGCGAGGTAGTGCTGGTGACACGGTTGTGCAGACAGGTTGCAGTAGCAACGCGGTTGTCTGAACGTTAACTTGGAAAGGGGCAAAGAACCGGCATAATTCCTTTCCTAGCAGGGCATGGATAAAGCCCACCAGTCTTTTGTAACCTCATACACTAGCGTGTGCTTTGATTACCTGTGGGCAAGGACAATAGCTTGGGAACCATGAAATCTGGATCTCGTTCCCAGCTCAGTCAGTTCATACGCTCTCCTGAGAAAATTGTCTGTCCTCTGTGTCTGTTCCTTATCTGTGAGCGGGGAGAACAGTACTGATGTACCGTGAGGTGTATTAGGAAGCCACACTGAGTGTGATTGTATTGCAGGGATTTCTCAGGCAAAACTGAGGTACTGTTCAGTCAAGCTGCACAGGTGCCTCTGATGAAAGGAATCCCAAAAAGACTTTACAACGAGAGCTGAGAAATCTTTGTGTGGAGAGTGCACAAGATTGCCTGCTCAGATTGAGACCATTTGTACCAGCAGGTGTAACGGAATGGAGTAAAGTGTATTTTTAGAAGTTGACTAATAAGGGAAGCTGGCTGCTTTGCCTTCACAAGTCTTAATTTGGTTAGGCATGGTAAAACAATGCAAACACCTGTGTGACTATACTACCCCCACAAGGGCAGAGGAGGTCCCAGTAGTCACACAGAATGATACAGGTTCTCTGGTGTTTGGTTTTCTTAGCCAGAGTAGAGGTTACATGCTATACTTGACAACTATCTGATACAAACATAACACAAAAATCCCTTTATCTGCTAAGTTCTTTGTTTGGTGTCTGAATAATATGCTTCGGAAGTTTTTGCTTAGTTGTTTGTAAACAAACAACTTATTTTGTTGAACTTGTTAATAAATAGTGGTTTACATTTCAAAAGCAACATGTTGGTGCTGGGAGACAACATGCACACCAGAAATGTCAGGCAACGGCTAAAGACAAAGACCTCTCTTTCTGGGGACTTAAATAGAGCCTTTGTAGAAAGGGTATTTTTATCACTAAAGCTTTCTGTTTAACCCAAAACACTTTAACTGTACAGTGTAAGCTACTTACAGGCCACAGTTCTTTTTGCCTTTTAGCCTTAGAAAGCAATAGGAATTATGTACACAAGCTTTATCTATAGCCAGTGTCAGAGGAAAAAGTATAATGTGGGGGCCTACAAGGTGGGTCAGTTCTTCCTGGAGAATTAAGTTCGTTACTGTTTTGAAGCTGTGTAAATGAGGAAGGAGAAAGTCTTAGCTGACCTCTAATAGATGTAATAATAAATATTGTTGCAGTTGGCATTATTTGGCAGCATCAGTAGAAGAAAGTCTGAAACCAGCATGGAACCTAAACTGCTTTCCAGCTAGCAGGAGTAGATACTTATAGGGAACTGACCAGACAGTCTGCAGAAATTTTGCTCAGGTATTGTGTGAATCATTTTTGCTCCCCAGATAAATCAGCAGTCAAACCTGCTGTGTTCCTGGCCTACCCTCTGAATGATGAAGAAAAACCTGGCTCTGCTGACACTGAAATGTTACTATGCTGAGCATACCTTCTGATCCACTGCCAAATAGAATTCAACAGAAAAAAAAGGATGCATTAATATGTTCTTTTATTGACAGATTGAAAACCTAGAATGGCAGGAGAACAGAAACCATCCTGCAATCTTCTGGAGCAGTTTATTTTACTAGCCAAAGGTACAAGTGGCTCAGCTCTGACTGCTCTTATAAATCAAGTGCTGGAGGCTCCTGGGGTTTATGTATTTGGCGAGCTATTGGAGTTAACAAATGTGCAAGAGGTAAGAGATGAGTTTCTATCCTAACACCACTTCTGCACTCCCAGTATAAGGGATCTCCAGAAGTTTCCACAGACAGCCTATGCATGAAATTTCTGTGCCAGGAAGGGCCTGGTGCCACTTGTCTTGGTTCTGAGATGTTTGTGTATGAGAAATTGATGTTGCTTTTGCCTGTATATATTAGATGTTAAAAAATACCTGTATGAAGCTTTGCTACCTTAATGCGGTTGCTAATACAGCGAAAACATGGCAGCAGCACAGTAACAATTTTAAGAAGGCATTTAGCTAGCCAACAATGAAAAAAAATCCTCTTCTACTCCTTCATTGGAAAGCATAACTTCAGCGCTCTCCAAAAGTCTTTGTGAACAGATGTCTAGTGTGTCAGATCTGGGTGGTAACCAGATCCAAACCATTTCAGACCAAGGTGGAAAGTAAGTTCCAGAGCTTTTACTGAGACTGCCTTGCCAGCACCCCCTCTAGTACAGTGAGGGAATATAGGCTGAGTATCTGCAGCTGGGGTAGTGTGGCATACAGCAAGTTTGACTTTCCAGACGGGCTCTTATATATGCTGAAAAATGCCTCTACGGTTATTCAGCATCAAATTGCAAGTCCGTCTTTTTTCCTGGATCTGTGTGCAGCAAATTTTAAAAAAACTAACTCAATAAAAATCACTGCTTGGTGCTGCAGTTATTCCAGTGAAGTGTTTGCATGTGAGAGGAGTGCTATTATTTTCGAATGCACTCAACTTAAAATGTTCCAGCTTGCTTTACTTTGAAGTTTTTGTGGCTCTGCAGGTAAGCTGTCTTAGCTTTCTCAGCAATACAAAGGATGCTTAACCAACAAACACCATTGCCTGCTTGCTTGTCACATGATGAGAAGAGCTGTCCCTGTAGGTTGTCAGCTGAAACTAAGAATCGCCTTTTTCTTTTGCCTCCTAAGGTGCCGCACAAATCAGCTGACAGTCCAAACTGTAGTTAAGTTCTGGTGCATAGAAATGGCTGGATTATCTTGACTCTCAAACTGCTGAAATTTGCTGCTGCTCATGAGGCCTTAGAAAGGGTCCAGCTCTTTAAGATCAGGGCATAATTGCTTTTTTGGGTACTGCTTGTCCTGTGTGGACTTAGAACATTCTCAGGAGAAGTTGCCTACCAGGGTTGTGTTGACTGTTACCATGTTACATGAAATTTCTTTTGTTTTCTTCCTATCCAGCTTGCTGAAGGGTCTAATGCTGCTTATTTCCAGTTGCTGAACCTGTTTGCATACGGAACGTACCCAGACTACATGGGTAAGAGACTGCCCCCTATTTGCAGAGTACGAGACTGTGTTGCCCTTTAGAACTGTCAGAGGCAGTTTTTTGCTTTCCGTGGTACCTGGTGTAGTGTGTCTGAGTGAAAGTGTCCAAGAACAGAATTTGCTTGGGAGGAGAATTGTTCGTAGGGGGTCTCTGGGTCATAATGTGCTTTTTAATTGCTAAAATGTGAAGGAAAGGCTAGAGACTGTGCTATTTTACTGGTTTGGATTGGACTGTGGCACTAGATTGAATTGGTCAGTTCGCAGACTACTTACCTCTGCGGAGTGCAATTTTAGACATCTGTTTTGAAATTTAGATGACACCAATTATGGAAGCTGCAGAAAACTTAGACAAAATTGTTCTGCATTATTTATAAAAAGCTATATGGTTTATGGGATAACCTTTTATTCTGTGACGGCATTGCTGAAACAAAATGAAGAATTTCTTAGCTAGAATACAAATCGAAATAATGACTTTTATACAGCTTCAGGACTATGTGTGAATCATCTTAGTATCTGTCGAGATGTGCTTTTATCTCTGGTGCTTATGCTTCCATTCTGCTACAATTTAATACTTCATTTGTGGGTAGCAGCCTAATCCAGACCATTACAGAGGGTGACAAACAGTTCTGTCATAGTGCTGGCTATCACTGTGTTGGATGAGCTATCTAGTTCCTGTAAGGAGAAGTGGCATCCATAGGTGCAAGGACTGGAAGTTCCAGTGACTGTGGAGCAACACAAGCCTCATGAATTCTGTGACTGATTAGAGGATGTTTGCTGTGCATGGGTCTTGTGTCCCTGCACGTGACAGTGCAGTTCATTCTTCCTTTTCTAGTGAAGAAAGAGAAAGGGGGAAAAGTAGTCAAAATGTAGAGCGTTGAATGAGGTACGATGGATGGGAGAACTTGAGCGGCCTTGAGACACTAATTTCCATTAAAGCAGATATTTTAAAGAGTTTCTTTGCTTTGGAAAGCCGCCAGTTTCCTTTCTGTTTTTAAATATTCATGAGGCACGTGGATATAATACAATGACAGTGAGGCCATCTAGATTAATAATTTCTCCTCCCTTCCTCAGCCTGGTACTTTACACTTTCAACTCTAAATTCTGCAGCTCTTCAGAGAAATAAAACTAGCTGTGTTTACAACCAGATCAGCAAAGGGGGAAGATTTTATTCTGACAGCTCATTAATGAAATAAAAATGACTTGTTGATAGAAACAAAGCATTGACTGACTGTTTTGGCAGGACACCACTTGTGTGGATGTGAATTACGTTCTAATTCCAAAACCAGAATTACTAAAGAAGCAGAGAAGAATAGAATTGCCAGCTTGTTTTTTAACTTTTTCCCCCTCCCTCCCTGGGTGTGCTAATGTGTCATCAGCAGCTCTCTCTGCTCATGAGCACCCACAGCAGCTGGAGTAGCACAGCCTTTCAGGGTTTAGTGTAGTGTAACTAGCCTAAAGTTCTGCAGCCTGGATTATAGAATTCTTGAAGGAAAATCCTGAATCTTATCTTTTTAACATTAACAGCAAACAAAGATAACCTGCCTGAATTAACATTGACTCAGAAAAACAAGCTGAAACACTTGACAATTGTAAGCCTGGCTTCCAGAATGAAGGTAAAGTACACTGTTGTATGATAGCAGTTGTCTTTTTGTTTGTTTTTGTTTTTGAAAATGGCATCAGTTCCATAGCATTGAAGTTGTATTGGATTACTTGAGTACTCGCAAAAAATCCTGCAACTAGGAAAGTACCTGCAGCGTACAGTGTTCTCTCATGGTGCGTTTGGGACATTAACTTAGTGGACTGCCATGGATGAGGTGTGAGGGTGTCTGAACTGCCATGCAAATTGGAAGGGCTGGGAAACTTTGTATGGCTTCTTTCACTGCTGGAGATGGACAGTCATTCTTAAAAACACTGACTTTTTGTTCTAGTGAAAACTAAGCAACGCTCTTAATTTCTTCTACAATCCCATTACCTTTTTTCCTCCAGAATGTGCTATGTCAAAGCTTCAGGAATTACCAAAGTTGTGTCAGAATGTTACGTCGCCTAGTAGCAGGTGTTTGTTCTGCCACGATCAGTCACTGCTGTACTTGCAGGTTAAAGTGTAGGATACAATAAGCATTTGGATCTTGACCTTCTCAGACTTAGCTGTTCATTTTGGCTCTAGGACTGTTAACTTATTCTTGGACTTGCTGTTTTTAGTGCATTCCCTATTCTGTGTTGCTGAAGGACCTGGACATGAGGAATCTGAGGGAGTTGGAAGATCTGATTATTGAAGCGGTTTATACAGACATTATCCAGGGGAAGCTGGATCAACGAAACCAGGTGCTAGAGGTGGATTTTTGTATCGGCAGAGACATTCAGAAGAAAGACATCAGTAACATTGTCAAAACGCTCCAGGAATGGTGAGGCAGTCTCTTCAGCTTCCTTGTTCCTTGTACATAACTTGTCCTGTTTTTTTTCTTATTCCTCAAAGTTTCAAGTGCTGGCTCAAATTCACCATGCTCCATTAATCAGGAGTCTTATGCTGTAAGTAGGCACTTGGAGGAGTAGTTTATTAGGCGAGTTTTCCAAGATCCCATCTAGGATTCAATTTGTGTTATGTAGCAAGCCAAACTATACTAGATCTTGAGATTCTTCTCTCACTCCAGCTTTTACATGGCAGAACCCTAGTGAGGAGTCAAGGCCTTTTCCAACAGACGTGCCAAACCGGACTCATGATCTTATGGTGGGAGCTACTCCCCTTTCTGCTGTTACACTTGATAAGGAAAACAGAACTGTCCATTATGTTTTAGCCTTTGTCACCGTGATGAGAACTGCATGGGCAAATTCTAGAGGATCACAGTTCTTTGGAGGGATGTCTCTTCAAGTCTGAATTTTCAGATGCCTTAGTTTGCCTTTTCCTTGTTCCTGCAAATGCAGGCTGCATGCAAGCATATTGGGATTGTGGTACTATCTTTTTGTACCTTTGCCAGGAAGCTGCTTCCCATCTTTTTGTAGGATTCCATTCCCACCCAGAGAAATTGCCCCGTAGACTGTGGAGCCTGTGGCAGGTTTGGAGCTGACTGGGAATTGCTTCCTAGTTGCTATGGTAATGAGTGCATGAAAAGTAATTAAACTACTGGGCAAATACGCTGTCCTGAGGTGAGGGCAGGTTTTCTGCTTCTCTACTCCAAATCTGGCAGCTTCCAGGACCTTACAGCATTGTTTGGAAGGTAACAGTGAACCCACTGCCAATTCCCTTTCTGTCCTCTCCAGTTACGAGTTCTGTGTTGAGTGCTCTTATCTTTTGAACACTTAACAGGCAGGGGGATTATCTCAATCTGACTTTTTTTTTCTTTAATTTAAAAATTTTACTTACCTCTGAAAAATGTGTTGCATCCCCGTTTAAGCAGTAATTCTGACTGAAAAGGAAGTTGAAAATACATTGGACCTGCACTTACTTTTTGATGCTAAGAGTAAGAGTAAGATGGACTCTCTGAAGAATGCTGTGAAATACATCGAGTAAGCAGCAAAGCTTTTTCTTGCCAGCTTTTTGGAACTCTAATCTTTAAGTGGGAGGTATAAATTTAATAATCTCCTAAACTTTAGGCGAGCATGACTTTTCAGATTGCCTAATTGAGCTGCTCCAGAGAGAATTTATAAGCACTGTTTGACATTGTTTGTATCTTGCAGGTGCGATGGTTGTGAAGCGGTCCTTTTAGGAATTGAGCAGCAAGTACTTAGAGCCAACCAATACAAAGAGAACCATCACCGAACTCAACAGCAGGTAGAGATGGAGGTGGGTACAGAGTCACTTCAGACTATTCTATGCTTTTTGATAGATGTTTATTTACTTGAAGAAAATAATCTGGTAACACCTGGTTAATGGTCATGGCTTCTCTGAAGTAGGCTAGCAGTCACACAAATCGAATGCGCTGATTTGGGGTAGGAAGAGAACACATCTGCTTCCATGTGCTAGTTACACCACAAACATCAAATTTGCCCACCTTGAGCAGGTTGGAACTTTTCTTTATAAATTTTTACAGATTTAGGCTAGGTGACTGCACTAGCTATGGTTTCCTGAATTGATTTGTTAGGAAAAGTGTGCTTTTAACACAGAGCTTTGATGCAATTCTTGTACAAGGCAGCAAGGAAGGAAGGAAAAAACAGTTCTCTCTTTTAAACCTGAAAGCGTAACTAACAAAAATCTCTCGAGTCTCATTGCTTTCGCAAAAAGTGCCCTCAGCAGCTTCCTTTGGGGGTCAAGTTGAGCACCCAGACAGGGCTCTCTGACATGCTCTCTTCTGCAGCGTGATGGGGTGCACTCCTGCCTCTGTTCCATGCACAACTAGGCAGTAGATGGCAGCACGGGCACGCGATTTTAGCCCCTGCTGATGTGTATTTACTTGTGAGAACAAATCTTGGCTAATACAGCTGTAAAGGTGAAAATGGTCCTCCCGAGACACTTGCTTAGGGTTTGTTTCTTGCAGAGTGCTGCATCCCTGCAGCTTTACGTTTGCCTTCTGAAACAGCATATGCTTGGCGGCTTGATTGGCATCCATAGCGCATTTGGTTTGCCAGATGCCTTTGACCTAGAGTTGGCACACCTGACTCCCAAACTTGTTTTGGTCTGTGGGTTTCTTCTAAGGTTTGCTCATTGTATTTCTGGTGAGCCCTACAGGGTTCCAGGGCATAGAGTATGGTGCCTGGTGCTGTATCTCCTTTTCAGCCAGAGTAGCAGAAGCGCTACTGCTGCCTCCCATGAAACCAATTTCTGTTCCTGCTTCTAGGAAATACGTGTGACTTGGACAGACAGCTAGGCCAAATGGCATTTACCCTTTTCAAGTGCTGTCCTAAGTGTAAGTTTGTTTCTTTCACAGTCTCCTTTGTCCTTCCTGCCTCTGGCCAACAGAATGGTAGGATGGCTGCCGTCTGCACCGAGGCAGTAGTAGGTCCCTCCAGGCAGCCAGCAAGGTGGTACGATATTGTGCCGTTGACTCGTAGAAAACAAACAAAAAAAAGTAATCTCTAGTTATTCTGTATTGGACCCAGACTGGAAGTATTAACAACTCTGGCTGTAAGTGAGGTTGAAACATTACCTTTAATAAACTCAAATGCAGAGCATATTTCTGGTGGGAGAGTTTATTTTATAATCTCCACTCTATACTCCAGGTTTTTCAATATGTTTATGAACAGAGTTTCTACTGCAAGTGGAGGAAGAAGCAGGTGCTGATTCACTGTCTCTTCTTGGCCAGGTCACAAACATAAAGAAAACATTAAAAGCTACAGCCTCGTCGTCGGCACAAGAGATGGAACAACAGCTGGTAGAGCGAGAGTGCCCTCCACACACAGAACAAAGGCAGCCCACAAAGAAGATGTCCAAAGTCAAAGGGCTGGTCTCCAGCCGTCACTAGAACATACCGTCTAAATGTCATTCAGCTAGGAATGACAACAGGAGGAGCAAAAAAGGGCCTGCGTCTCCTTTTTCAGTGGGTTCTGGGCCAGTCCCTCCCAGGCTGGCAAATAAAAGCCCTGTTTGAATGCAGCTCCTAGTTAGCAGCACCTGGCTATGTTACACTGTGCAGCCGCTATTAATTTCCAGGACGTCTCTGTTCTGGTCCTGTAAAGAGGGACTTCTGAAGAGAGGGACTAACCAAGAGGGGCAAGGGGGAAAAAAAATATCTGTAGACAGTTTTGCTCCCTCCCAGCCAGTCTCTTTGCTGCTTAACCTTGAGGAAGCTGCTGTACTAAATCAGATCTTGGGAGAACTCTTGTAGCAAGTGTCTGAATCCCAAGTGGCTACCAAAGCCAGGCTGGGAGTGAGGAAGCCATCAACACAGATCTTTTGATTCCCAAAGAGAGCGCAGAAAAGTTTCTAGGCCAGGAGCTGCTTTACATGGAAGTCTTCAGCCTTTCTGCTACCCCTGTCTATTTTAAACTGGGGTGAAATTCACACTACCTCGCTCTGTGAAGATGAGATCCAGTGCTGGGCTGTTTACTTAACTGTCTGTTTACTGCCCTTACTAAGCCCTTTAATCTCTCACAGATTTAAAGCACTGTTCTACATCTCTGAGGTATCAATACAATAAGGAGGAAGCAGGCTGCTCTTTCAAGCCTGCCTTCTTGCAGGTGGTTAGGGGCATTCTAGCAACTGTTCCTTTTAATGTGATGTGACCTCCCAGAGCTGCTTGTGAGTTGTTTCCCTCATTGATACCTTCAAAGGGTAATGCATTCGCTCTTCCTTGGATGCTAGTGACAGTGGTCTGCATGGGAGAAGAGCCCGTTTAGCATCGTGACAGGCTGGTGGCCCAGGACCCACTGGCAGGGGTCGCAGCATCATCCCCTTGCTGAAGCAATGGACTTGACTAGTCTTTCTGAATTTTGAACACTTTCAGGTCGTATTTTCCTCACATTTTTTTGTACATTGTTGTGATTCTCAAGCATTTCAGCCTTCGTTTTGTGTTTTTTATGTTACAGACTAACTTCAGGTGATTTGCACCTAGTTTGGGAAGGAGTGGGTTTTTTTTTTTTTAAGGGGGAGGTTGGGGTTGGCATTGAAACAGCAATTCACAAAAAAGCACATTTTAGAAAAAAATTAAAAATGCTGATTTAATGTCAGAGTCTGGAGTCTTGGCTTTGAGGCTGCTTTAGGCTTGTAGTCCAACAGCACTTGTTCTCTTGAGCATTTACTTGATTCTTGATGTTACGTTATCAGAAGGTCTGACTAATCTCCCTGATGCATCCGGGAGGCAGGGAAGTGCTCTTCCCATTTTGTCAGCAGTTTATCTGTGTCCAAATTTGTGCAGAAGGATCTGTGGCAAAGCCAGGAGCTGAACCTAATATCCTGAGCCTAAACACCTTTGGTGCCTGATTGAGGAAGGTTTGTGGTTGTGCTCTGTCTTAGGCCAGCCAATTCCTTCCTCTAGGTCTAGCGGAGTACTGCTTTGTAGTTTGGCCTCTGCATTTCACTTCACTCCATGCTGCAAAGAGAAGGGCTTTCTGTGAGCGGGCAGGGGAGCTGTTTAAGCAGAGGACTGTGACGATGCTCCTGTCCTGCAGCCAGCTGTCACCTGCTCTTGCCTGTGCAATGCACATGCCTTCCTCTTACTGCTACCAGAATTCTTTACTGTCTGCGTGTTTTCAGTCCTCAGTCACGGGATTTGTGCATTTGTGAAAGTAAATTCCTCTTCTTTTCTTGTCCTGCAGCGCAGGCACACCAGCTTTTAATCTTGAGAGGTGGATCTAAATACCTCCCATCCAGCTTTCTCTGGGTCAAGTCGCTTGGTTCCTGATTCTTTGCCCGCTCTCTGTTCCCCCCAGAAATGCTACCCAAACAATTCCCAGGGGAGGATGTTAAGTAAATAAACCAAGGGCACAAAGCCTTCCCCTATATCTCAAGGGAACTGGTTCCCAAGCAGTGGCAGTACTAGTTCCTGTAGTAGCTTCTCCCAGTGTTTAGCTGGCAGCTTCTCAGGATGTGTAGGTGGACTTTGTGTACCCAAGTCTCATAGATCTGTGTGGTGGAGATGGACTGAGTCTGGTTTTGGCTTCCCACGTGGACAGCTGCAGTGTACTGGTCATCCAGTTCCTCACTAGCTTTGATGAGTGAAGAGAGGCTCTGTGGTCCTCGCTAGCTGTTTTCTTCCCTTCCCATTTTTAATATCAGTCCTGCAAAGAGGCAGAAGGAATACAAATGCCTTTGGAAATTGTTTTAACTCCTCAGCAAGCCACAGTCTGCTGTGGAAATAGATGTGAGTTTGGCATCCTTGGTGTTTGTTCCTTGCCAGTTACAGGAGTCACATTAGTTTGCTGAAGCTTCTTTAGTGTGTTGGAAGTTTTCGAGTTTGTTCTTACGTTTTTGCAGTTCTCAAAGCCTGGCTGGGGGTGAAGATCTTATTTATGCTTTGGTACACATTGCCTTTGATCAGCAAAGAAGCAGGGGAGGAAACAGTGCTTTGAATAAAGAGCCATCCCATGTTTGACGGTGATAGAGGACAGAGAAGAGAATGAGGTGTTGGAAGGAACTGAGCTGTTTGCATGCTTGGCTTTCCTGGTGTGCCAGCGACGCGCTTGGTGCTGCAAAAGGAGGGGGGTGTCTTTGCAATGAGCCCAGTCTGAGATGAGTCATTAACAAATGACATGAACAGAGTACCTGGGGGAGGCAAACAGCTCTGCAGCAGCTGGTTAATGAATCTGGCTTGAAGGAAAGAGTTAGAAGCTATTCCAGGAATGAAGCAGAAGGCATAGTTGTTAACAGGGAAGGATGCAGGAAGTGCTGTAGTCTTTGAGAAGGACAACAGATAAAGACTGTATCAACTCCCTGTGACTACAGGGAGGGCAGCAACTCAGGGCAGAATTGTGTGAATTAGGGGCTGAATTGCAGACAGTTTTGAGTGGCGAGTGCCTGGGAACTTAATTGTGCTGTGGGGACAAGAGGGTGGTGGAAGCAGAGGTAGATTTGATGCAAACTCCCGTGTATTGCATGTGCCTGCTGGAGGCAGCTACCACAGCTTGTCTGAGCGCTGCTGGACACTGCTCCCTGATGTGGAGAGAGCATCCTGCCCCACTTTGTTTTATGGCATCAATGGGCTGCTCCAGCTGCAGCTCTCCAAGGTTGCAGCAGGACAGAGTTTGAGCTATTTAACTTCTGTTTGCCTCCTCCACCCGGAGGGAGACAAAGTAGATGGAGCTGCCTTCCCTCTGCTCTTCAGGGCTTTATTGTCTAGCTTCGTGTTCTGCAGCTCCACTTGTACTAGTGCTTGTTTAATATGGAATTGAGCACTGAGCTGGAAAATGGAACAGAGGATCTCAGCTGATTGCAGTGCTGGTAGACTGCCCTAGCCCTAAAGCTGTGCCTCATGCTAACAAATGTCCC